AGAGAGAGAGAGAGAGAGAGAGAGAGAGAGAGAGAGAGAGAGAGAGAGAGAGAGAGAGAGAGAGAGAGAGTAAGAGTAGTCGACCGAGAGAAATAAGAGAGTCGTAGGATGAAATGAGTGCTAGAGGATGTGATCAGTTGCCCTAGCCTAGTACACGTACCTGAGATGGAGTGGTGGTAGTTGCAGTAGTTTGTGATATGTTGGAAGTGAGGCGAGTACTGTTACTGGGGTGACCTGTGAAACTTGATGTGAGCTAGTAGAGGTGTGTCTGTATCCATTTGTCACGCTCTCTGATCCACTTATGTTTCGCAGGTATCTAGTATGATTTATGTACTACTTGCCTAGCCATAATTATGTATGTTGATGTAGAGTGTGTTGGTGTATAGGTGGTGCTGTGATGGTGATGCTAGTATGTGGTGTTGGTGTGTGCTAGTTATGTTCTGCTGATAGTGATGGTGCTGGTGATGGTGATGCTAGTAGTGGTGTTGGTGGTCTAGTTGTGGTTCTGCTGATAGTGACGGTGCTGGTGATGGTGATGCTAGTAGTGGTGTTGGTGGTACTAGTTGTGGTTCTGCTGATAGTGATGGTGCTGGTGATGGTGATGCTAGTAGTGGTGTTGGTGGTACTAGTTGTGGTTCTGCTGATAGTGATGGTGCTGGTGATGGTGATGCTAGCAGTGGTGTTGGTGGTACTAGCTGTGGTTCTGCTGATAGTGATGGTGATGTTGATGCTAGTAGTGGTGTTGGTGGTACTAGTTGTGGTTCTGCTGATAGTGATAGTGCTGGTGATGGTGATGCTAGTAGTGGTGTTGGTGGCGCTAGCTGTGGTTCTGATGATAGTGATGGTGCTGGTGATGGTGATGCTAGTAGTGGTGGTGGTGGTGCTAGTTGTGGTTCTGCCGATAATGATGGTGCTGGTGATGGTGATGCTAGTAGTGGTGTTGGTGGTACTAGTTGTGGTTCTGCTGATAGTGATGGTGCTGGTGATGGTGATGCTAGTAGTGGTGTTGGTGGTACTAGTTGTGGTTCTGCTGATAGTGATGGTGCTGGTGATGGTGATGCTAGCAGTGGTGTTGGTGGTAGCTAGTGTGGTTCTGCTGATAGTGATGGTGATGTTGATGCTAGTAGTGGTGTTGGTGGTACTAGTTGTGGTTCTGCTGATAGTGATAGTGCTGGTGATGGTGATGCTAGTAGTGGTGTTGGTGGCGCTAGCTGTGGTCTGATGATAGTGATGGTGCTGGTGATGGTGATGCTAGTAGTGTGGTGGTGGTGCTAGTTGTGGTTCTGCCGATAATGATGGTGCTGGTGATGGTGATGCTAGTAGTGGTATTGGTGGTGCTAGTCGTGGATCTGCTATAGTGATGGTGCTGGTGATGGTGATGCTAGTAGTGGTATTGGTGGTGCTAGTCGTGGTTCTGCTGATAGTGATGGTTCTGGTGGTGCTGGTGATGGTGATGCTAGTAGTGGTGTTAGTGTGACAAAGACTACTTGCGTCTCTCATTATTCCCCATCTTTTTACCTCAGAAATCTTCTCGTGATAAAATTACTAAACATTGTCCAATTTACTAATTCCTGCAGTTTTTTATTGAATTTTTTTTCTATCAATTTAATCCTTAATGCATTATTACTTTCATTCACTTTTATTACACTGTTTATATTTTTATTAGTTGTGTATTTTCTCGTATGAAATAGTATTAATATATCAGTAACAAAGTGTAATAAATCTTGATAAAAGTGTAAATAAGGTGGAGGCGTCTGACACACTGGATAATAAGGAAGTCTTTATTAAAATAACTTTTATTATTGTGAACACAGATACAAAAATACAGAGAGGAGGTCAAGAGTAACCACCGGTATACAAATCCTTGCCGGGGAGGGAGGGAGGGAGGGAGAGAAGGAAGGAAGGAAGGAGAGAGGGAGGGAGAGAACGATTTAAGCAGGATCGGAGAGTGGAGGGGAAATGGGATGGTAAAGAAGGGAAGTAAGATAGAAGGGAGGACGCAGGGAATCAGGAAGGTCAGAGGGAGGAAAGCTCAAAGAGGAAGGGAGGGGAGAAATGAGTGAGGAAGGGAAAGACGGAGGGGAAAGGGAGGGGAAAGGGAGGGAAAGAAAGTGTTGTACGGGAGGGGGAGAGGGAAAGTGATCGTATTGGTGGGTCATCAGCTGTGTTCAGGCCTCACCATGATGGAGGAGACTGGAATAAAGAGGAAGAGGAGGGAGAAGAGAAGGAGAAAGAGAAGGGCTAGCATGCAACATGTGCACCTATTCTGGAATGTACGAAATATATGTATACACATGCACATCTGGGGGCGCTGACCCCTAGAAATCAACTCCCGGGTAGATTCACTAATACAGGTACACGCAAGTACACACACACACACACACACACACACACACACACACACACACACACACACACAACATACACAACACCACAACATCGGATAATCACACCACAACTCGGAGGATTTGACAGAACAAACAAGGACAGACTTTCTTAAAACTCGAGGCACAGGGGCAAGGAGTTCATAAGGATGTAAGGAAATATATATTACAGTCTGAGGGTCGAAAACAAATGGAATGAGCTACATGGGAAAGCGATACAGGCAAACTCAATACGCAGTTTCAATAGAAGGAAATAACCCACGGAAGCGGGAACCAATAATGCTAGCCATTGTAATTTAAAAGGCGGGGTCAAGAACTGAGATTCAACCCCAGCAAATAAGCTACAGCAGCATCACTGACATGCATAAGGTAAAGGAGGAGATAATCAGGAGAGAAAAAGCACTTGGAGAGATATGATTGCTTAGACAACCAGCACGTGTTTAAAGATGGTAAATCATGTTTCACAAACTTGCCTGAGTTCTGTGCCAAAGTAACATAAGTGAGGCAGGAGAAAGAGAGAGAGACAGAGATGTGTGGACTGCCTTTTCTTGGATTCTAAAAAAAAAAAGGCCATTGACACCGTCCCTCACAAGAGACTTGGGAAAATGTGAGGAACCCGTATCAAGACTGGTTATAAATGACCATAATTTTTAAAGGGGTGGACCGGTAAGCCAGCGGAAGGCCTCGGTCAGATGACCAAAAGCTCCAAAGGCGGGTCATCATCTGACTAAGACCCGCGTCAGGAAACATTTGTCCTGTTTCCTGACGAACCTTACCTAACCTAACCTGAGGAACCCGTAGGTCTAACAGGTAGGCTACTGCGTTACAGTGGATCAAAGAGAATTTAAGGGAGATGAGGTGTCAGAATGGGAAGTGTGACGAAACAGGGTTCCATAAGGTCAGTACTGGGACTGGTACTATTTCAGAAGAATCAGATGTATTCCAGTTTCCATATGACACGAAATAAATAAGGAGAATAAAAACCTGATGAGGATATGGAAAGGCAACCTGGACCAACCGCAGGATTGGTCACACCAGTGCTTACCGGAATTCTTCCACAGCATGTGTAAGGTTATGAAAATTTGGGGACGGAGAAAAGGCCAGAAAATGAGTATAGACTTGAGGATTCCAGCCTGCAAACTTCACTCAAGGAGACAGACCTTGAGGTGAGTTTAGTGAAGAACATATCGCCTGATGTTCACCAAGACATGATATCGTTTCAAGCGAAGCTCATTTAGTAAATCTAAGATTAGCTTTCCCGAATTTCAGTGAAAAGTCATTCACGATCCATAATGAGCCTGACATGTCAGGCTCATTATGGAGTATTCATAACCAGCAGTTAACCCACACCAGATAAAACTTATCAAGAACCTGGAGAATCTGCACAAGTTTGCAACGAGACAAGTGTTAGAGCTGAAGGAAAGGAAGTACGTCGAGATACTAAGCAAAATTAATTTAAAAACATTATAGGATAGACATGATAATGACCTTCAAAATACTAACAATACCTTAACAGCATGGACTGGAACAGAGTGTTCGAGAGGCGAGAAATGGGTACACGATAACAAGGTTGATAGTTAAAGAAGTAGACAAAATACAGGGATATCAAGAAGTATTTCTTCAGCTTCCAGATGGTCAGGAACTGGAATGATAGTGATGAGGATGGCGTGAAGACAGGGTACCTAAATTCTTTAAAGAAACGGTAAGCAGGGTTACCGTGACTAGGAGTAAGTACATCCGGCAAGTAGCAAGATGAGAGGCGGGGCCAGGAGTTGAGAATCAACCTCTGCAACCTCAAATAGGTTAGTACGTACATGCACTCTCTCACACACACACACACACACACACACACACACACACACACACACACACACACTAGTAGCGACCAGTGAAGAGGCGGGGCCAGGAGCTTGGACTCGACCCCTGCAACCTCAACTAGGTACAACTAGGTGAGTACAACTAGGTGAGTTCCCACACACACACACACATACACACACAGGAGCTGTGACTCGATCACTGCAACCATATATATGTGAGTACACACACACATACAGTAGCGACACACACACACACACACACACACACACACACACACACACACACACACACACACACACACACACACACACACACACACACACACACACACACTTGTAGCAACCTAGCATCAGGACACCAGGAACGAACTCTACACAAAACATTTGTTGTTAAAGTAGCAGTAAAATCCTTAAACATGTCATGTTATTGCCTGGCTACTGACTGCTGTACACTCACTTGCAGTGAGATAATGCAAGTTGTCTCCTAAAAACAACAGTGAGGCAGTTCCTCCTTCCCCTCGCTCCAAAGTGTCTTCAATATTTATTCATAAAATGAAATAAAAATTACAGAAAGTATATCCATCTACCTATCAATATATATATATATTATATATATATATATATAATTTATATATATATATATATTTTATATATATATATATATATATATATATAATATATATATATATATATATTATATATAATATATATATATATATTATAATATATAATATATAATAGATATATATTTAATATATAAATATAATATATATATATACTATACATATCGTAGATAAACTCATAGAAAGGAGGGCAACTGGTGAACAAAAATAAATCATAGTTGACACTACCAGTACGTTGATCCTAGCAGGTAGAGTGACGCTTGATCCACTAGTGTTTGTGACTGTCAGTATGTGAGATTTGACAGGTAGACTGAGCCTTGGTACACCAGCGTCGAGTAAAGTGTATTCCAAAAGCGACTGTGATTGGTCGTTACTGCTGATCAATAGCGGCTTTAGTGTAGGTCATCATGCTGGTGGAATGTATGAAGTTCTGAGAGTGAGTGAGCGTAAAGAACTCATCTTGCTGTGGAAAAAAACTCATATTCTCTCGCTGAATGCGCTGGAAGATATTGATGGCCTGGCTATGAAAGTCTGATCATTGCTCTGATGCTAAATATATGATTATTTTTTAATATACATTGTTCTTTTTGTTACTGATGTAGAATGTACGCCTATCATATTTTGAGTCATTTAAAGGGTATGTTTGGTAGCCAGAAGAAATGGTACATCAATTGCATACATATTTTGCAATGAAATTGCTTTTAAAGTCATGTAGTACCTGGAAACTAAATTCTGTACATCACAAGTTAGCTCGTCCTTATACTGATCGTTTGTTTTTTAACGGTATGGATATTATATTGTATCGTTCAAATTTAGCAGGCTTGTGATACTCGCAGATTGTTTCTTCTTCGCTCATGATATTTTTAATTTTGCTGATTAATTTGTTAGTTTATTCTAATTTAGTCTAACCAAACGGAATTTAGGTGGAGGGAGACGTTTGCTTGTCTGCAGCAGATATCAAGCAAAGAGTGAATTGTAAAAGTCGGAAAACTAAACCTTTAATAATGTACTGTGCAGAGGCTGTTGCACGATAACGGAAACCACTGAAGTCTATGTTCAGAGCTAGGAACACATGCGCTCTAGTGTTTATGAAACTGGGTTGCCTAAGGCCATTAACTTCAATATAAAGCTACGCTTACCAGCTCGTAACGTAGCACGTGATACGCGAACACCAACTTATTACGATATCTGAAGTGTGGCGTCTCTAGTGTAGCCCCAACCTATCATTCTTCCGTAAGGAAAACCTAACTTCTCATGGTTTCTCTGAATGCAGTCAGCTCTGTAACTATGCCTATCGCTTTGGCGTATCTGCCTGGTAGCTAACTTTCTGTATCTCCACTCTTTAGAAGTCAGAGATATATGTCCCTGATGTGTTGTTCGATGCTCGGAACGAACTACCGTTGAACTATGAAGAGGACTCATTATCTCGACGTTGGGCTCTCACGCCACTAGTGTAAAAAAGTTGATTACCATCACTCTACCATACGCGAGAAACTTAAAGGACAGAATTCAAATATCTCTTGAATAAAACATTATAATCCATCACTAAAGAGAAAACTTGAAAAGGGACAAAATGGTTGTTATGTATGAGTCTATAACGATGTTCGTCTCCTGCTGGTTCTGTTCTCACACTCGCGGCTTTCTTCGGGGCAGAACTGGGGCTCAATTCTTTCCCCTCCCTCCCCCCAAAAAAAGATCAAATCACTAATGTTTTGCACAGCTGAATGTTGGTAGTCAGCTTCCTGGTGATATCTTGTGACATCGTGCTTCGTGTGCCAGCACACCATCACAGTAGTTCGTAGGAGAGGAACCCTCCGGCGAACACAACGTGTGATGGTTAACAGAGTCAGCAGGAATCAACAAAAAGAAGCAGGAACAGTAGGGCATCACAGCAGCAGGTGGTAGAGTACTGTCAGCAGCAGCAGCAGGAAGGAGTGAACACAGCCACGACTCGTTGATCCAGTCTGCATAGCCTGCGGTAGTTCTCCTGCAGGTGGGTGAAGCTGTTAGTGGTGTGAAAAAGTCGTGGTTAGAGGTAGGTGTAGGTGGGTCATGTGGTTGTGGGGGAGGAGGGTATAAGAGACTGTAGGTAGATGAATTAGGTGTACGTGGGTGTAAGTGGCCGGAAGTGGGTAAGTTAGAGGTTAGCGAAAGAAGTGGGTATAAGTCGGTGACGTTTTTAATGGTATAGTGGCTGCTGTTATAGGTATGTGATAATTATTGTTACTGATGTTAAAGAGGCTGGAATTATAAAATTATTATTGTTATTGGTTACTTTATTATTATTATTATTATTATTATTATTGACTATTATTATTACTATTATTAATATTATCATTATTATTACTGTAATTAATCATTACAGTATTCCAAAGCTATTTTAAACACCCAAACATACAACACATAACACACAACAGACACACACACGCACACACACACGCACACACACACACACATGCACACACACGCACACACACACACACACACACACACACACACATACACACACACACACACACACACACACCACGCACACACACAGACACACACACCATGCACACACACACAACACACACACACATGCACTCACACACGACACACACACACACACACACACACACACACACACACACACACACCACACCACACACACACACACACCACACACACACACATGCACACACACACACACACACATACACACACACACATGCACTCACACACGCACACACACGCACACACACACACACACACACACACATGCACACACACACGCACACACACACTGGAGGACAGGAGGGTCAGGGGAGACATGATAACGACATATAAAATACTGCGTGGAATAGACAAGGTGGACAAAGACAGGATGTTCCATGGGAGGGGACACAGAAACAAGAGGCCACAATTGGAAGTTGAAGACACAAATGAGTCAGAGAGATATTAGGAAGTATTTCTTCAGTCATAGAGTTGTAAGGCAGTGGAATAGCCTAGAAAATGACGTAGTGGAGGCAGGAACCATACACAGTTTTAAGACGAGGTTTGATAAAGCTCATGGAGCGGGGAGAGAGAGGGCCCAGTAGCAACCGGTGAAGAGGCGGGGCCAGGAGCTATGAATCGACCCCTGCAACCACAAATAGGTGAGTACAAATAGGTGAGTACAAGCACACACACACACGCACACACACACACACACACGCACACACACACACACACACCACACACACACACACAACACACACACACACTCGTGGAGGAGTCACGCGGTTTGAGCTCGTGTTTTGGTGGTAATTTCTGACTGTGCCATAAGGAATAGAGTGTGGGATATAGGCGTGTGCACGCATAAGAGTGCATATAATCACTTAAGCCCCGATCACAGAAAAGAAAACAAAGGAAATAGTGACTAAGTGTTTAGTGGGGGCCGTTGGAAGGAAGGTGAACGGTTGTGTCAGGCCTAAATAGTGTTGCCATAATAACACAGTGGGGTATTTTGAAGAATAAGTGCGACTCAAGACCAGGGAGATAAGAGATATGTATAGATGTGTCAGTAAATACAGTGAGTGAGTGAAAAAATTAGATGAGCTAGAGACCACAGTGCCTACAGGAAATTAGTGGAAAAATTACCGAGAAGCATCAAGCATTTTCATACTGGGACCCAGGCGGACGACAACATTACTCCACTGCCAGCCGCAAGTAATATTCACCTGGTTTGAGTTGCATGGGGTCAGCACCAGTCTCTAGCTGGAAATTGGGGGTCACTCTCCTCGAGCTATCAGAATTAGAATAAGCAGCATTTACTGGCATTTAATAGAATTTATTGAGGTGTAGGAGAGTTAAGCAGTTAATGATAGATAGCCTAGTATGAGAGGTAGCCTAGCAAAGCCTAGCATACAGAATTGAACGTAATTTTAGGCACAAGAGAGTGCAGTGGGAACCAAAAGATTGGGTACATATGCAAAACATATGTAGTACATACGAGGGAAATAATGACTGCTTACATAAACACGCGCATGCACATACACATACACACACATACAGGATTTCACACCTTTATGTGAATTGACCCTCAAACCCTTCCTTCTCTCTCCGTCTCTTTGTCTCTTTCCCTCTCTTCCTCTCTCTCTCTCTCTCTCTCTCTCTTCTCTCTCTCTCTCTCTCTCTTCTCTTCTTCTCTCTCTCTCTCTTACTCTTTGTCTCTTCCTCTCTCCCTCTCCTAATCTTTCTCTCCCTTCCTCTCTCTATCCCCTCTTCTCTCTTTCCCCTCTCTCTTTCCTCTTCCTCTCTCTTTCTCTCTTCCTCTCTCTCTTCCTCTTTTTCTCTCTTCCTCTCTCTCTCTTCCTCTCTCTTTTTTCCCCTCTCTCTTCTCTTTTTTTCTCTCTTCCTCTCTCTTCTTCTCTCTCTTCCTCTCTCTCTCTCTTTCTCTCTCTCTCTCTCTCTCTCTCTCTCTCTCTCTCTCTCTCTCTCTCTCTCTCTCTCTCTCTCTCTCTCTCTCTCTCTCTCCTTTTCCCTTCTCTCTCCCCTCTCTCCTCCTATCTTTCCCTTCTCTCCTCTCTTTCTCTCACTCTCTCCCCTTTTCCTTTTCACTCTCCCCCTCTCTCTCCTTCTACCTTTCCCCTCTCTCTCTCTTCTCTCTCTCTCTCTCTCTCTCTCTCTCTCTCTCCCCTCATCTCTCTCTCTCTCTTTCTCTCTCTCTTTCTCTCTTTCCTTTACTAAAAAAAAAAAAAAATGGTTGGGACTCGTAGGAATCAGGGATCAGATGACAATGGTATTGGTAGGGAGGAATGGATGGAGGAGCAGTGGAGAAGGATGGAGCAAGAATGGGAGAGAAAATTAGGAGAGCTTTCTGAAAAAATGGAGAAAGAGCTCTCTGCAAAATGGGAAAAGAGGTTGGAGAAGGAGACGAAGAAATGGGAGGCACAAGTCGAAACTGCAGTAGACAGGGTAAGGGTCCTAGAGTTTGAGGTAAACAGGCTGAAGCAAGTCTCAGGGGCAGTGACCAGAGAAGACACAGCATATGAAGCTGAGAGGATGAACAGGAAGGAAGGAGATATGAATTATGCTAAGGTCATATAAGCCTGAAAAGAAGGGTCAGGGAGTAAAAGGAAAGAGCAGCTGGGTGCAGATAGAGAGGGAGATAAGTCGAATGCTGAGGCACAACCATGCTACCAAGAGCCACTGGAAAAATCAAGGGAGAAAATGACCATAGACAGGAACCAGAGTCACAGAGGGAGAGGCAATGGGATGAGGAAAGGGCAAAATCAGTGTTTATCCATGGGCTTCGGGAGAGAGAGGAAAAGACACACACTGAAAGACGGCAGGAAGAAAGAAAGGAGATTGGGAAAATCATCATGGAAATAGGGGAGAAGACATGGATGATATTGTAAATTTTCAGAGAATAGGGGGTACGTGAAGGGGAGAAACCGACCGATCAAGCTGATTCTCAGGACAGAAGCAGTGAGGAACAGGATCCTCCAAGAGAAACCAAGGTTGAAAAACTCGGAAGAGTACAAGAAGGTGTTCCTAGACAGAGACAGAACACAGAGAGACAGCAGCTGAGGGAGAGGACAAAAAAAGCAAAAGGAGATAGGAAAGGAAACAAGGATGGAACCAGCAGAGGTCAGTCAGAGCAGAACAGAGAAGCAAGGGCAAGCACACACACAACTATCCTCAGAACCCCACAACCTATCACACCATCCCAACACAAGCTACAATCCATACCCACAGCTTCCACCCAACCCCCAGTCATAGAATCCCACAGTATGCTACCAGGTCTCCCACCCCCACAGGCCCCCCAAACCACAGTATTGGAAAGGAAACTGAAGGTATGGTACACAAACACTGATGGAATAACAAATAAGTGGGAGGAGTGGCACAAAAGAGTCAAAGAGACATCACTGGACATCATAGCACTCACAGAAACCAAGCTTACAGGTATGATAACAGATGCCATCTTTCCAACGGGATACCAGATCCTGAGGAAAGACAGAAGGAACAGGGGGGGGGTGGAGGAGTGGCACTGCTGATCAAACACTGATGGAATTTTGATGAGCTGGAGAGAGGAGACAGCGGAGAAGAAAGTGATTACATAGTGGGAACGCTTCACTCTGGAGGTCCCAAGGTGGTAATTGCAGTGGTGTATAACCCACCACAGAACAGCGGGGGACCAGGGCATGAGTATGACGAGAGCAATAGAGCGATGGTTGACACACTGGCTGCAGTGGCCAGAAGAGCTCATGCATGCAGGGCAAAGCTCCTGATCATGGGCGACTTTAACCACAAGGAGATCGACTGGGAGAACTTGGAGCCACATGGGGGCCAAGATACATGGAGGGCTAAGATGATGGAGGTGGTACTGGAAAACTTCATGTACCAACATGTAAGGGACACTACAAGAGAGAGAGGAGAGGATGAGCCAGCAAGACTGGACTTAGTATTCACCTTGAGCAGTGCAGATATTGACATCACATATGAAAGACCCCTTGGGGCCAGATATCATGTGGGTTTGAGCTTCGAATACACAGTAGAGCTACAAGTGGAGGGGGAAGCAGGAAGGCCAGGACAAATGAAACCAAACTACAGGAAAGGGGACTACACGGGAATGAGGAACTTCCTGAACGAGCTTCAGTGAGACAGAGAACTGGCAGGGAAGCCAGTTAATGAGATGATGGAATATGTAGCAACAATGTGCAAGGAGACTGAAGAGAGGTTTGTACCCAAGGGAAACAGGAATAATGAAAAAGCTAGGATGAGCCCATGGTTCACCCAAAGGTGCAAGGAGGCAAAAACCAAGTGTGCTAGGGAATGGAAGAAATATAGAAGGCAAAGGACCCAGGAGAATAAGGAGAGCAGTCGTAGAGCCAGAAACGAATATTCACAGATAAGAAGGGAGGCCCAACGACACTATGAAACGACATAGCAGCGAAAGCCAAATCTGACCCGTAGCTGTTATACAGCCACATCAGGAGGAAAACAACAATCAAGGACCAGGTAATCAGGCTAAGGAAGGAAGGAGAAGAGACAACAAGAAATGACCGTGAAGTATGTGAGGAACTCAACAAGAGATTCAAAGAAGTGTTCACAGAGGAGACAGAAGGGACTCCAGAGGGACGGAGAGGTGTGGCACATCACCAGGTGCTGGACACGGTACACACAAACGAGGAAGAAGTGAAGAGGCTTCTGAGTGAGCTAGATATCTCAAAGGCAATGGGGCCAGATAACATCTCTCCATGGGTCCTGAGAGAGGGAGCAGAGGCGCTATGTGTACCCCTAACAACAATATTCAATACATCTATCGAAACAGGGATATTGCCTGAGGCATGGAAGATAGCAAATGTAGTCCCAATCTTTAAAAAAGGAGACAGACATGAAGCACTAAACTACAGACCAGTGTCACTGACATGTATAGTATACAAAGTCATGGAGAAGATTGTCAGGAGAAGAGTGGTGGAACACCTAGAAAGGAATGATCTCATCAACAGCACCCAACATGGTTTCAGAGACGGGAAATCCTGTGTCACAAACCTACTGGAGTTCTATGACAAGGTGACAGCAGTAAGACAAGAGAGAGGGGTGGGTGGATTGCATTTTCTTGGACTGCAAGACGGCGTTTGACACAGTACCACACAAGAGATTAGTGCAAAAACTGGAGGACCAAGCAGGGATAACAGGGAAGGCACTACAATGGATCAGGGAATATTTGTCAGGAAGACAGCAGCGAGTAATGGTACGTCGCGAGGTGTCAGAGTGGGCACCTGTGACCAGCGGGGTCCCACAGGGGTCAGTCCAGGATCAGTACTGTTTCTGGTATTTGTGAACGACATGACAGAAGGAATAAACTCTGAGGTGTCACTGTTTGCAGATGACGTGAAGTTGATGAGAAGAATTCATTCGATCGAAGACCAGACAGAACTACAAAGGGATCTGGACAGGCTGCAGACCTGGTCCAGCAATTGGCTCCTGGAGTTCAATCCCACCAAGTGCAAAGTCATGAAGATTGGGGAAGGGCAAAGAAGACCGCAGACGGAGTACAGTCTAGGGGGCCAGAGACTACAAACCTCACTCAAGGAAAAAGATCTTGGGGTGAGTATAACACCAGGCACATCTCCTGAAGCACACATCAACCAAATAACTGCTGCAGCATATGGGCGCCTAGCAAACCTCAGAACAGCATTCCGACATCTTAATAAGGAGTCGTTCAGGACCCTGTACACCGTGTACGTTAGACCCATATTGGAGTATGCGGCACCAGTTTGGAACCCACACCTAGCCAAGCATGTAAAGAAACTAGAGAAAGTGCAAAGGTTTGCCACAAGACTAGTCCCAGAGCTAAGAGGTATGTCCTACGAGGAGAGGTTAAGGGAAATCAACCTAACGACACTGGAGGACAGGAGAGATAGGGGGGACATGATAACAACTTACGAAATACTGAGAGGAATTGACAAGGTGGACAAAGACAGGATGTTCCAGAGACTGGACACAGCAACAAGGGGACACAGTTGGAAGCTGAAGACACAGATGAGTCACAGGGATGTTAGGAAGTATTTCTTCAGCCACAGAGTAGTCAGGAAGTTGAATAATTTGGGAAGAGATGTAGTGGAGGCAGGATCCATACATAGCTTTAAGCAGAGGTACGATAAAGCTCACGGTTCAGGGAGAGTGACCTAGTAGCGATCAGTGAAGAGGCGGGGCCAGGAGCTTGGACTCGACCCCTGCAACCTCAACTAGGTGAGTACACCTACACACACACACACACACACACACACACACACACACACACACACACACACACACATCACACACACATATGCACACACGCACCCACACACACACGCACACACACACATACACGCACACACACTCACCGTTCAAAACACTAACTCTAACTGATGCTTCCTTCATTCCCTGAGGTGCACAGATGTACACTCCTGAGTCTTGAGTGGTCACGTCTGGGATGACCAGGTTGCTAGTGGTGACTGGCCCCTTGTCTGTGGTGATGGTGACTCCTCTCCGTGACCCGTCGAAGGAAACCATCTGCCAGGAGACAAGAAAGATGGCTTGGTAAACCCCCTCCTCTCGTACCATCGAAAGATACCATCTGCTAAGCAAAATAAAGATGATATAGTAACCGTTCGTTCCGACTTGACTAATAATGTCACTTGACAATGAAAGTAAAAATAGTTTAGTCGCCCTTCGTCACAGCTCGTCCTAGGATACCATCTGTAAAGGACAATAAATATGGTTTAGTTATCCCTCACCGTGACCAGTCGAAGGATTCCAACTGCCAGAAGACAACGAAGATAAATTAGTTACCCTTCGTCCAGTCTCAGGATACCATCTACAAACAGACAATAACAACAGCCTGAAACCCTTACTAACAAATCAGTCCAAGCAAAAGTTTCGCTCCACAAACACACAGAAAAAATATATTGTAGTGAATTAAATTCAGCGAATTTATCTCTCCCAAACAGTTTTGAATAACAAATAAATTAAGTTTATTTGTTCCAGTAGCGCTACAGCCATCAGCACACACTTTCAGTAAATAACTTTTTTTACACAGTTTTGAGGTAACAAAAATTATGAAGCTGCAGACTACAGCATGTTTACGTGGTTATGTTTTGAACAGCGTTATTAAAAATATTACAGTGGGAGACCTTGAGATGGAGCCTAACCCACCTTTTCGGTGTATTTTGAAATAAAATGAATCTTATATTCATTATGCTGTTGAATATATTTTAGTTCAGTGAAGCTTGACGTGGTTAAGCTGACGTTCCCATGGTTCGGCTGACATTCCCACATTGTTGCTGACGTTCCCACGGTGTGTCTGCCGTTCCCTCGGTCTGGGATAAACTTCCAAGCGATGTGGCTGACATTCCCACATTGTCAGTGACTTTCCAACTGTGATAGTGACGTTCACACGTCGTAGCAGAGGTTCCCACAGCGAAGGTGACTCTCCGATGAATCCCGCTGTTGCATCATGTATTACACAATTAATCAACCCTCATCCCCGGTGGACACTAACAGAGTGTGACTCGCATAATACTGATCATGAATTCAAATCCCACGTGAATGTCAGAGTATTCGTAATGCTTCATTAGCATAATTGCGAATTCCTGGTCCACAGTTTGGTGTGTCGACCTAAATACTGTAAACCATCTTTAGAGAGGCCGAATCCTGAGTCATTAAGTAGGAACTCCATCTCCATTATTTTGACTAAACCTTCAAATCTATAAAGAAAGCAGGAAAGTGTAGAAACCTAATTTGCTTTTCAGCAGTTCCTCCTCGTGTTTAAACAAGTGCTGCTCGTAGCAGCCTGTCGTTCTCCTCGTATTTTTCCAGCCTGACTATTTTTTTTTTAAGTCTTTCAGTCTTCAAAGTTTATGGACTGATCACCTCATCTTCAACCTTTCTCTGCTTCTGCTGTCTTCGTATTTATTCACCTCTGTATTCGACTGAAGAAGCCTGCTGTGTAGGCGAAAGGTTTCGGAAGGGAGATACCTATCTGTTGCACAGGAGTCTTAATCATCCACTGGTCGGTATTGTGTACCAATATTATAATGATATTCCAATTTTTACTGTTGAAATAATGTAAGCATTTTTATTAAACTGACTTGATATATTTCTTCTTTATTTCTTCTGGGTGTTGATGTATTTTTTTCGCCACAACCAAAAATCATAATAAAAATTTGTCCACGTCGTCAATTTTTTTTTTAATTATATAATGGCTATTGGTAAATACGCTTTTGATCTGCGTTCGTGTGAGTCACGGTATTTCTTTATTTTACACATTTTCCTCAATGGGTTTTGCGATTTTATGACTATAGCAATTCACTTTATTGTCAGTACATTCCCCTGGCAACACTGTCTTCCCTCACAAAACTTGAGTTTCGTTGCATTTAACGATTAGGAAAAAAATTCACATTTTCTGTTTAAGGATTATTAACACACTCAGTGTCTAATTCTTTCTTATAACAATTATTTTGCATAAATTTTAGATCGATTTTTTTCCACACACAAAAGCGTAAATGTAAATAAATATTTTCGTAGCGATTGGTTTCAGTTAATTTCTTTTGTAATTTATTTTATGATGACTATCTCATCATACTACTGTATGTATGTATGTGTGTAATTGTGTGTGTGTGTGTGTGTGTGTGTGTGTGTGTGTGTGTGTGTGTGTGTGTGTGTGTATGTGTGTGTGTGACAGGGAGGGATTAACTTACCTTGTCCCGGTGGTACCAGAAAACATGCTCGGGCGGCTCGGGGCTGTCAGGCACAACACAAGTTATGTTGAGAGGTGATCCGTGATCCACGTAGAGTTCAGGTCCTGGTGGAATCACAGCCCTCGGTTCTGTATAAATGAGAAGCAACGTGTACGAGAGGAGAGCAAGTGCAGTGCTGCATGCTGCCTTTGTCACCGCTGTTCGCCACTGCCCTAACCTGTGACGGTTTACCAGCATAAATATAAATCAATGGATCTCAAACATACCACTGAAAAAAACTCTGACACGGTATTGAAATTTCCGTGACATACTGCTGTCCCCTTCGGGTATAACATAAGCTAGCAATGTTTTCCCTGTAATATTCTCTCATGCAGGTTATGTTTCAAACAAGAAGTAATGAAATCTGTCAGCCTGAGCCTAGAGACGTCAATAGGTTCAGGCTGACAGATTTCATTACCTCATGTCGTGCCAAATAGGTTAAACTGGTCAGTTAGCAAGAACTCATTTAGTATTAAGTCGTTTCTAAAATTTTCTCTTATGCATTTAAAGACATTTTTTTTTCATTTATGTTAATATAAAAATTAATGAATTTGTACCAAAAGAACCTTAGGAAACTTACCTAACCTTATTATAGCAAGCGTAATTTAATTTAGCCTAATCCAACTAAATATATTTTATATAAGTTTACAATAATTTAATAATAAACAAAAACAATAAAATATATATTCTTCGTTAGATTCAGAATGATTTTTACGAAATTAATTGCATACACAAATTTTCCCTTGCCCTATTCGGCAAGAAGTGCGTTGCTATTTAAGCCAAAATTGCAAGTTGAGACATATATATATATATATATATATATATATATATATATATATATATATATATATATATATATATATAATATATATATATATTGTGTGTGTGTGTGTTGGAGTGTGAGCAAAGTAACATTTATGAAGGGGTTCAGGGAAACCGGCAGGCCGGACTTGAGTCCTGGAGATGGGAAGTACAGTGCCTGCACTCTGAAGGAGGGGTGTTAATGTTGCAGTTTAAAAACTGTAGTGTAAAGCACCCTTCTGGCAAGACAGTGATGGAGTGAATGATGGTGAAAGTTTTTCTTTTTCGGGCCACCCTGCCTTGGTGGGAATCGGCCAGTGTGATAATAAAAATAAATAAATAATAATAAATATATATATATATTATATATATATATATATATATATATATATATATATATATATATATATATATATATATATATATATATATATATATATATATATATATTATTTATATATATATGTCGTGCCGAATAGGCAGAACTTGCGATCTTGGCTTAAATAGCAACGCTTATCTTGCCATATAGGACAAGTGAAAATTTGTGTATGCAATAATTTCGCCAAAATCATTCTGAACCTAACGAAAACAATTTATTTCACTGTGTTTGTTTAGTATTAAATTATTGTAAACAAATCTAAAATATATTTAGTTGGGTTAGGCTAAAATAAATTGCTCTTGTTATAATAAGGTTAGGTAAGTTTTCTAAGTTCCTTTTGGTGCAAAATTATAAGTTTTTACATCAACATTAATGAAAAAAATGTATCTTTAAACGTATAAGAGAAAATTTTAGAAAGGACTTAATTTCAAATGAGTTCTTGCTAACTGATCAGTTTTACATATTCGGCACGACATAATATATATATATATTATATATATATATATATATATATATATATATATATATATATATATATATATATATATATTATATATAAACAGAAGAATATACTAGGTCTTGTCAAGTAGCAGCTCCAGCGCTGTACAATTGATCTACAAGGCTTACAATAGGAAGGTTTCAAATACTGCACATTTTGTGACAAGTTTGTATCAGCAGCCACCTACTATTCCCACAGCTCCAGAAGCTTTCTTAGTACGAATGGTGCAGTGCTGGACCTGCTACCTGTCACTACCACGGTTTGACATATAGAATTCTGAGACATTGATTGGGCAAACAAAAGTTGCTAGAGATTTGATGATTACGGAAACGAATTAGTAATAGGAGCGTCAGGAAGAATTTTTTTAATCTTTGGATAGTTAGAACCTGGGAAGACCTGGACGAGAAGGTGGAGATGTCCTTAATCACTGCTTCAAGAGAAGACATGAAAGAGCCCGGGGGGCTAGAGTTTTACAAATGTCCGTCAAGGCAACCCCTGTCTCGACCCCTCCTAACATATATCGGTGAGTACAACTGAGTGAGTACATATATGCGCCACTAACGCTCAATCGACACTCAAGGCTAACCAAATTATTAATGCCACACAATGGACGGTAAAGGTTCGTGCGTCAAGACAGTTTACGACAGTAATGTGACACTGTGGTAACATCTTACCTCCTACCATTTCCAGAAGAGCAGATTACAACGTAACCCCAAGGGAATTCACCCAGTATATGTGACCTCTACTTCTGTTACACTTGCTCAATTATACCTCTCTCTCCGCTAATAAGCATTTTTGAAGTCGACCAATTTGTTGCTCTCACGACGGTTCAAAGAGAGGGCACACGCTTACCCTGTGTTTAGGCTTGATTACAGACCATTATTGTTTTACACCACAATTGCAGCGGGTTTTTCTTACGTGTTAATATATATATATATAAAATATATATATATTATATTATATATTATATATAATATATATATATATAATATATATATAATATATTATATATATTTATATATTTTATATATATATTATTTATATATATAATATATATATATATATATATATATATAATATATATATATATATACATAGCATTTGGTCATCGAAATATTGGAGGAATTTGAATGTGGTTCTAATATGTCATATCTTTGATAGCTTTTATAATTTTTAAAAGTGAGCCCATAAAGTCATTATTCCTACGCAGAAGCAATGTGAATGATTGGAAATCACTCTAGGACTACACTGCTTTGGAAAGAGTTGGGGTTATCTAATTGGTTGCTTGAGAATGACGGCAAGTTCCTCTATTGGCTAGATGCAATGTCAACAATTTCACATTCACTGATTAGACTCTAGAACCTTTCAAAGTGACCCCCAGATATGAGATCCGAATGGGGCTTATAACACTAAGAAGCTATTTTGATTCGAAGTGGCAGTGTGACCGTCCTGAAATTACTAGCAATGCGTGTGATTCACTATGCCACATAAGTTACGCAGTGAACCTCATCTCGTGAATAACGTGGGCAGGCTGATGATACCCATAACTACTTTGAGGTTTTGCAATGAGTGTTAGTCTATGCATTTGTACTGTTTTCTGGGTAGATGTGGTGATGGTGGTATCGTTGGTGGTTATAGAAATAGTGATGATGTTAGATGTGGTGCTGGTGGAAGCCTAGGTAGTGGAAGTGTAGGTGAGGGCGGTGGAAATATTGGTGGTCATGGTGTAAGTGTTAGTTGTGGTGGGGTGGTGGTAATGGAGACAGTGTATGTAGAACTGGTGATGGGGACAGTGGTACTAGTGGAAGCGCTCATGATAGAAGTTGAGATGATAGAGGTAGTCTTAGTGACGCTGGTAGCTTAGTGGTGCTGATAAGTCTTAGTGGTGCTAGTAGCTGTGTTGATACAAGTGGGGGGTGGTGGGGGTGGGGGGGGGGGGGGTAAGTGCTTTCGATGGAAAATGTAGTGACGAAAAATGGTGTTGTTGGTGCTGTTTGTAATGGAAGTTTTTTTATGTAATTGGGGGTGTTAGGAAGTAGTGTGTTTAGTGGAGGTGGTGTTAGTGGAGGTGGGTTAGTGGAGGTGGTTTAGTGGAGGTGGTGTTAGTGGAGATGGTGTTGGTGAAAGGGGGTGTTTGTGGAGGTGGTGTTAGGGAGGTGGTGTTAGTGGAGGTGGTATTGGGAAGGTGGTGTTAGTGGGGTTGGGGTTTGGTGGAGGTGGTGATTTGTGGAGGTGGTGTTAGTGGAGGTGGTGCTAGTGGAGGTGGTGTTGGTGAAGTGGTGTTAGTGGCGTGGGTTTTGGTGGAGGTGGTTTTGGGGAGGGGGTGTTAGGGGAGGTGGGGGTTAGTGGAGGTGGTGTTAGGGGACCTTTTTTTGTTAGTGGGGTGGTTTTTAGTGGGGGTGGTGCAGTGGAGGTGGTTTTTATGGAGGGGGTTTTTTTAGGGGACTGGTTTTTGTGGGGGTGGTTTTAAGTGGGGGTGGTTTTTGTGGGGGTTGGTTTAGTGGAAAATTGGTGTTGGTAAAGGGGGTTAGTGGGGGGTTGGTTTTAGTGGAGGTTTGTTGTGGAGGTGGTATTGTAAAGGTGGGTTGTGGAGGTGGTGTTGGAGGGGGTGATAGTGGAGGTGGTGTTGGGGGAGGGGGGATGTTTAGTGGGGGTTGGTGTTGGTAAAAGGGGGGTTTGGGTGGAGGGGTTTTTTGGTGGAGGGGGTGTTAGTGGAGGTGGTTTTTTAAGGGGACGGGTGTTAGTGGAGGTGGTTTTTAGTGGGGTTGGTGTTAGGGGACGTGGTGTTAGGGGAAAGGTGGTGTTAGTGGGGGTTTGGCAGGGGAGGTGGGGGTTAGTGGAGGTGGTGTTAGGGGAACGGGGTGTTAGTGGGGGGTGGTTTTTAGGGGGGGTTTTGGGTTAGTGGAGGTGGTGTTAGTGGACGTGGTGTTAGGGGAGGTGGGGGTTAGGGGAGGTGGTTTTAGTGGAGGTGGTGTAAGGGGGACTTTGGTTTTAGTGGGGGTGGTGTTAGTGGAGGTGGTTTTAAAGGGGAGGGGGTGTTAGGGGAAAGGTTTGGTTTTAGGGGAGGGGTGTTAGTGGATTTTGGTGTTATGGACGTGGGTTAGGGGGAGGTGGTGTTAGGGGGACGTGGTTTTAGTAGAGGGGGTTTTGTTAGTGGAGGGGGTGCTAGTGGAGGTGGTTTTTAGTGGAGGGGGTTGTTAGGGGAAACGGGGTGTTAGTGGAGGGGGGGGAAAGGGGAGGGGGTTGTTTGGGGGGTGGTTTAGTGGGGGTGGTTTTTAGTGGAGGGGGTGTTAGGGGAGGGGTTTAGTGGGGGGTGTTAGTGGAGGGGGTGTTAGGGAGGTGGGGGTTTAGTGGACGTGGTTTTTATTTTGGGGGTTTGGTGTTAGTGGGGGTGGTTTTTTGTGGAGGGT